CCTAACCCCCACCCCCTAACTATAAAACGCAAGAAATGTCGACCCACCTCCATCTGCAAGGACTGGGCCAGGCCGACTAGCGCAAACTTCGAAGCGCTGTACGCGGCGTAGCCGAAGCTTCCCGACTGCGTGGCACCCGCAACACAGGCACGGGGGTAAGTCGGTCGATCGATCGGAGGCCTGGCGAGAGCGACGAAACACAAAACAACCACTACTGCTGTACGGTGCGCTGAGAACTTTCCGACGGCGAGAGACATAGAGGAAAAAGGCGTATTCAGATGCCAGGCGACCTTGGCGATCTGAGCAACAACGCTTACTTGAGGGCTTGGTTGGCTCTGTCAAACGCACTGCTTCCTTGGAACTAGATAAAGGGTTAATGGCGCTTTCGCGCCCCCGCCCAACCGAGCGATTCCAAGGCAAAGGTCAATACAGAGTGCAGAGATCAGGCGGTCGGTGAAAAACAGCACTCGCCACTGCTGTGTTGCATTGTGCTGAATGGAGAATAAGTCTAAACTTGATTGAAGGAACAGGAGAAGGCCGGGCGTGGCATCTAGACAACATGCATCTACATTGGGAAGCGGAGAACACTATTAGATCGGTACTGGCACTTACCGCGCCGCCGCCATGATGATTATATCTACCGTGACATGTCTGATGTAGGCCGGAACGAGGACGAACGCAGCAATGCCTCGTATGTCTGACCCTACCGAAGTTTGATTGGCATCAACGACAAACACATAGAGTACACCCTGCATGTCGGTCCGTCGTCTCTAAATGATTTTGGTAGATTTTTGGGTCATCGGCGCTTGGCGCCGCCGCCGAACGAAGAGAATCGACTGTCTTCTTGTAGGTCGTTCAAAACCGGAATATTTTCCAAGAGGAGATCAACGCATTGCATGCATTCATGTATGTACGCGATGATAACGAGAGCAGAAAAATGAGCAGAGCAGCGAATGAAGTCGAAGGCAAATGAACGAGTGAGTCCGATAGACCGTGCCGAGGAGATAGACAGAGAGGGCTTGGTGGAGGACTGGTGGAAGGAATAGGTAGGGCGCAAAAGTGTCCATCCATCCATGATGTTGATCGATTAAAATGCAAGAAAGATGTAGAGAGAGTGTGCGGCGTGGTGACTCTCACGGAAGAAGAGTCGATTATACCTAAAACATTGTCCACGGCGTCCAGACGGGAACAAAAGTGAGAATGTTGTGGAAGACAGATAGTGAACGAGTGAGGCCGTACGGCAGCGAGAGTATAGTCGGCGTGGTGGGGGGAAAAGAGAGTGATGGGAAGAAGAGGGCCTGCCCACCACGTCTTCGATCGATGAAATGCGTGTCCAACGCGGGGTGTGCCAACCTCAGTGTGCCCAGCTTGCAATGTACAACGGAGAGCTCCGCAGAATCGGAACTATTATCGAGAAGAGTATTTTAGGAGATAAATGCTGCGCTGTCAGGCGTCGAGAGGGGGGCGGAGGCGCGCTGAGAGACCAGGAAAATGCGGAAAGAAAAGCAGAAAAAAAATGGAGCCATTTCAGATCAAAAACAATTTGTAATAAGACAAATGACATCAAAGCACAACCCTGCGCGCATGGTTTGGTGAGAAAGAGCCGTGTGCGCTGACGGCGGGCTTCGCAGCCAGCGTTCAACGTGTCACGACACCTACTAACGCGCGCTGCATGACATGCTGCCTAAACGTGTCTGCTGTTCACGTACACCTGCCGGAAAATACATGTGTGTGCGTTTCTTGTCTACAGCGCGACAACCTGCTGATCAATGAAAACATGTCAACCTTGTAGCGCGACCAAACAAAAAGCGAATGCACTTCCAGCCAGCAGCCTCCCCCGGCAGGAGAACTGCGGAGGAGGTTGGGCAACAGGGTCCACTCTCCTTCCTGGTACAGACCATGCGCGTGTGTGTGTCTTCCGGAACCCGGGGGGGGGGGGGG